TTGCCCGGACGCCGGGTTTCCCCTCCATATGTTACCATGTTGGTATTTTCTGATGTATCCTGGGGCGTTCTTGCCCAATTGATGGTTAGTCACTTGCGTGAAGAACCAGGGAGGGTGTTCGTGAGTCTGCGAACATTGCTGTTGGATACATGTGCTGGATGATTTTGTGTCACGCAGACTGGTATGATACCCGTTTGACAGGGGGCACCGCGATGATTCACGGGGCCCCTCCTTGCTGTGGGAGCCGCTCTTTGAGCACTCCCTCTTTCGTCCGTGTGAAGGACGGTCGTCTACCTCCCGTGAAGTTAATACATCACCAAAACAGTCTCACCCGATAAATAAGTGGCGTAGGCCGCAAACAAACCCGGCGTGCTCCGTCTCGGCTTTGTAGGAATGCAAGGTCAATAGTCTAACGACGACGGCATGCACGACAATGAATATTCACCCCCCCGGTGTTTGCCATCGGGGTTGGGTTTTCGTCGCTTGGCAACGACTTTGTAAAACAAGCCGCCCCCCCCGGTGTTTGCCATCGGGGTTGGGTTTTCGTCGCTTGGCAACGACGTTGTAAAATAAGCCTTCCCCCCCCGGTGTTTGCCATCGGAGTTGGGTTTTCGTCGCTTGGCAGCGATGTTGTATTACAAGCCGATTTCTTCGTGAGCTCGGCAACCAGCTTACCGCTTTTTTTGCCTTCGTCCTTTTTTTTCGCAGTATCCATGAATGGTGGTCGAGTAGATAATGTTGGGCGGGCTCGAGGACCCCCACTCCGCGCAAGGGGTAATCGCACCACGTTGTGTTAAAATTGGTCAGCACTATCGAGGCAGTTTCAAAATGCTTACAACTGTCTCTGGAAGTGAAAGTACTAGAGAATAAACTACGTCATATGCAGCTGTCATCCTTACGCAAGGAAGTAAGCACAAGATCCCGAACACCGTTAGCAGGATGCAGCGCACCCTTCATGCGACTCGCCGAATACGTCACGGCGCTTCGCGCTTGGTGATGTCAGAGTCTGGTCCGATGAGAACCCGGCGTGCTCCGTCCCGGCTTTGTAGGGATGCGAGGTCAATAGTCTAACGACTACGGCATGTACGACTATGGGTATACCCCCCCCCACCCCCGAACGAAACCAGGCTGCGTTTCGAGGCTACCGCCTCCGTGAGCGCCTTCGTCGCCTGCCCGCGAGGGAGGCGGAGAAGCAGATATTGGGCCTGCACAGCAACGCTCGCGGCTTCCGGCGGGTGGGCCTCTTCTTGCTGTTTTCCGGGCTGTACTTCGCCTTGGTGTTCTACGGAGTGGACGTGGCTTTCCAGCGCTCTGTGCAACAGGCGCTGAGGGATCACGTTGCCGGGGTGAGTGCGGGGGGGTCAGGCGGGGGGGTTACTGGGGGGTGGGGCGGGGCAGCTGTGGCCATTGTATTGCATTCACAAACAAGAGGCGTGTCTCGCCCCTTTGGACCCCTGATTTGGACGCAATGGTTAGAGGCGGGGACTAGTTTTTGTCCGCCACGCAACGGCTGACAGAGGACATGCACCACAGCTTTCGTCGGAAGGATCGTTGTGTAGGGGTCTGTCTGCACAGAGAAGCACGACGATGGTGGTCTTACGGTTTTTGTTGAGCTAGGGAGTATTTCTTCTTGACCTCGATGAGCTTGCTGTAGGCGCCGACTGCTCCTTCTTGTGTTGCCTGCTTGCCCCTGGCATGACAGGTTAAGTACGGTCCGGATCTGGACAAGACCCATCATGACGTCGCCTCCCTCGCGGATGTTCACCAGTGGGTTCAGGTGGGCAAGGAACGACTGAGGTGGTATTTTTTCGTCTGTTCGGTCGATAAGCGTGTGTACCAGGTTGTACGCTTCCGCAACGCCGTCTTTGTATCGTAAACAAGGCAATTCGTGTGCAAAAGTAAACACGGTGATTTTTGCTATCATAGCTCGTTGGGCTGGGTCCCTGCCTCTGCTGTCTTCCTTCACGGGTGCCGGACGTTTAGGTCTCGCAACTCCGGCCATTGCTTCGAGCTGCACCATCATCAGCACGTGCATAACAGCCACTGTACTTTGACTTTTTGCCGTCGCACGGTTTGTTAGGACAATAGGAGTGTGTGTGGAGATCGTACCTTCTTGCACGTCTTGCGAATTGCGGCCTCTTGCGAAGAGAGGGGTTGGACTGCTATTGTAGGGCGCGGAATAATATCAGGAACTGTTGCGACAATCAGGACAGGCAACCGCGTGCCCCTCAAGAACCCGCAGACTCCGTCCAGCGTGACAACAGGGCCATTTCATAGGTTCGTCGGGATACATCCGACAATTCTCGTCGCCGACACGCCGATCGTTCAGAACCCTCGATGGTTTTTCCTTTTGTCCGTCTTGCTCTCGTTGTCTCTCTCAGACACAGTTGTTCCATTTGCTTTGGAGTGCACCCCGTGTGCCAACCAAAGCCGCCGGCTCTTCGGCCGCTTGGGTTTCAAACAAACGTTGTTATTCTTCCCCTCTGCATGCTCCCCGCATATTTCACGTTTTTCTCGAAGGCCCCCTCCACCGTGGTACGGTTGTGTAGTTTCGGAGAACTTCTGACTCTCCATTTCTGCTTGTCTCGTCTCCTTCGTCGCTGTCTTTGCCTCCATGCCTCTCTTTCTATCTGTGTGTCTCCGTATCCGTCTCTGTTTATCTCTCTCTGTTGATCTCTTTCTCCATCCCTCCCTCCGCACGTGTCTCGCTCTCGTTCTTTTGGGGACGGGTCACCAAAACCCGGGGCACGACGAACGACGACCAATACGAACCGGGCGCGTAGGCCTTTTTCCTGAAGACTTACGACGGCACGCAACTGGAGCACCCTTGTACACCTTGCGCCATCAAGCCCCCGGACGATGTCTGTGATGCCTGCGACTTCACTCCCTTAATCGAAATGTTTGCCAATGATTCGGATTCTTCTGCCGCCGATGATGTCGGCTCCAAAGGGAAATCCAGCTCCGGCGAGGCGGTAGCAGCGGCTTGGAACGCCCGCAGGAAGGTGGTGGCTGCTTCCGGTGATAGCAGCAGCAGCAGCAGCAGCAGCACCACCATGGGCCTGTCTGAGGAGTGTGTGCAGTGCCTGGTGAGCGGGGGTGATTACAAGGTCGTGAATGTTGTCATCTTTGCTGCGGCCAATTACTTCGTTCGGAGGTCATCGGAGTAGGGTAGCGGGACATCCCCTACCCAGCCCGCCGGGAAGGGGCACAACCCCATGTACTAATCGTTTCGCCGCCCTCCCCTCCCCTCCCATCAAACGAACGCTTTCAACGATGGGATGACTTTGGCGAATGCATGCATGTCTGTCGGCACACCACCAGATCGCGCTCAGCTGCGTCGGCGATTTACTTCATAATTGCCAAGAGGTTCTAGGGCTACCCTCCTACAACACCACCGTCTCGTCGTCCACAACAACGTCGGACTCGGCGGCTGCCAATTTCTCAGCTCTTCTGGAGGTACTAGATCTTGAGCCCTCGGGCGGGGTTCGGGCCTCCGGAGGCTACGTGACCATCGAAAACGTGAGGGATTAAACGTATGTCTTGCAAATCCTTGTTTTGTGTTTTGGAAATCCTCGTAGATCCCGTACGCACCGCTAATTTTCTTTTTGTGCAGATGGCGTGTCGTTTCAAGGGGAGTGTTGCGGGAAACCTACAAGGCCCAGCACGCACCGCTTCCTTCCGAGACAATTTGGTGTGAAGATCATGCAGTCGTTCCAATATGTGAACCTGTGCTTGGTTGCAGCTCTCCTTGTTGTTTGTTCGTTTCTCCTCACAACAGTGAAAGCCCGATCGCACAGAGGTGTTACGACATAGCCACGACACATCCGCCCGAATCCGGTGTTGGCACTCCTGCGTGTCACTCCTATGTTGGCACGTGGAGTGGCGCCGCACTCGCTGCAAGCATGATGGCCCGATCGGTCCAACCGGGACGACCTGATGCCGATCCTCGCATGCAAAATATCCCTGTGTGCGCGAACACCCCCTGCCAGAGAGCGCACCCCAGAAGACATATTATTATTTTTTTTCTTTTCGGTGTCTGCATATTTTTGCTCGCGAGCGGCGATGAGATCAAGGTCCTTTTGACGCCCGCCTTCTGAGAGCGCTTGACCCGGCCTAGTTGTGATGGATTCTGTTGTTTGTCCGTGGAGCGCTTGGGCCTGCAGTATCCGGTCGATAGAGAGCCCCGAGCTGTCAAGATCAAAGCAGACAGGGGCGCGCACGAAGCCCTTGTCACGCTTCAATTCAAGCAGGATCATTTCTCGCTAATGTCACCCGCACCTGTATGGCCTCTCCCAGATGTGGCTCTGTGAAGTCGGCGCTTCAGATTAAAACGATAGCACTTGTCAAGATTTCGGGTGTCTCACGTTTGTATCCATTCTCTTGTTTGTTTGCTGGGGATACTTTTCGTTGTGTTCCCTTGTGTTCCACGGCCTCGGAACTTTGTCTCTTCTTCTCGGTGAGTGGGGCAGAATAGATGCTTCATTGAGGTCAGAACAATGAATTGTAATAGGGGTACAAGACGAAGACGACGACTACAACAACATCAACAACAATAAGTTACCGCCCGTATTCCTGCGCTGTTTTGGCCGTGAACTTGGCAAATATGATCCAGGCGACCCAGTGCGACGACTTCGGCCTAGACTGGGGGCACACGGAGAGACTATGGCGTTTCAGGACCGGCCTGAAGGAGCGTGATGTATTCATTGTTGACGCGTACGCGCCTGGTGTACACGCGCCCGTGTTGGTTGCCGTTTGCGATTCACTTTGTTCCACGCGTCTTTCTTGCGGACAGTTGGGGTGGGGAGGAAAATCCTACGCGCGTCGGTGCGAGTCAGGTCTAGGGTGTAGCGCGTTTGCCAGCAAGCGACATACACACCTGGGTCATCGTGTTTGTTTTCTGTGGATGTTGCATGTGCTCCATAAATGTAGTGCGCTTTCCGCGGGATAGCCGTCTGCGGTATCGTGCAGTCAAGAGGGTACCAAAACCCTTGCTCTCTGTTGCTTGTTAGTCGTCGGTGTGTGTCCCGCGTTGATCCGGATGTCTTGGTTGACCTCCCGCCGTCTAGCCGACGCATCTTTTTCTGGCGGCATGTCGGATTACTCTAACCTAATCTGTCGAAACTTGCACTTAAAGGACCGACTCCGGCGGCGCCCTCTTTCCTAGCTCATACCATGCTCGCGTTTGCTGCTGGCGCTGTTGTTCGACAGGTCGATTACAGCGGAAACGGGTACGTGGGCGACAGAAACCGAGCAATCGGCGGGATGCTGGTGAGTGTGTTGAGCCGCATACGAAGATTGATCTTGACGGGTGGATCGTTAGTGGGTGGGTTGAGTCACACCGCTGCCTGACCACTCGGATCTTGTACGAAAATGTTCGCTCGTAGCACGTGTGAATTTTTTCGTTAGAACTGCTGTCTCCGACCAGCTGCGGTGCAAGCCTTCTTAACGTGCTGCGCGGATTTTCTTACACCTTTGAATGATGCAGTGCTGGCTCCTGGTGCTTTTTTTTGACGTGCAGAGACCGAATACTCCCGAATTCCCCCCCCCACTTTCGAAAGAAGAGGGATGCGAGGGCGGCATTTTCGGTACGTTGCCACCACCTTCGCTGGGCGACCTCTGCTGTCCTTCCGTCTTTTCACGTGCTCTGGAGCTTCCCTCGGCACGCACCTTGCTATAGCCTCTAGGTGTCCGCCCCCGCCCACCAACTGTAGGTGACATTCACCCGCAGAAATCGACTCTCGAGCGATGAGTGCTCTTCGTCCTCGTCCGGCGACTACTACGATATCTGTCTAGCCGACGAGAGTACCAACAAGACCACGTATACCCCGCCACAGCCATGGGGATTCTTCAGACCCGTAGAGGAAATGGTCTACAGCGGAGGTTCGTGACTTCGAACGCTGTTCCTTGTAGTCACCAGCTGAAAATGGTGGCTCCTTCACTGTTCTTTGTAGGCATCAGCTGATAATTGTAACGTCGTGGCTCCGATTAAAGATGTTATCTTGTAAGAGGGGGCTCCGATATGATCGGACGAAATCGGTTGACACGGACTTGACCCGCTATGAAGGTTGGGTACCCTTGCCGGGACAAGAGGGGGCTCCGGTGGACGAGGGTCAGACGCCTTTGTAGCACCACCCTAATATGTTATATCGGAGCCACGTTTGTAGCGCCGGCCCTCCGTAGATCGCACAACCAATCGGCGCTAGCAGTACCTGCTACAGCAGTATGGTGTACCTCCGGGTTGACTGCTTGGTCCCTCAAGAGTTGCCCGCGGGGAGACTTTTCGGGTGTTTTGGCGCACTCTTCGTTTTCATGTTTTCTCTGGTGCTAAACCTCCTGCCTACCGTAACCCATTACTTTGCTCAGTGGCATCTGGATACCCTGTGCTCATCGACACCGGAGGCCTCAACATTGGGGTAAGTGAACGGCACAACTGAACTAGTGTTGCCACGTCTGCATTCAAGTAGAGGGGAGACTTGCTTTCTTGCGTGGATGTCGGGGCTGCAGGCCCTTGATATTTGTGGGCAGCACTCCGAACACCCCGCCGGCACCGAGATTGAACCAGGGGATGTCCTTCCAGCTCTATTTTCACCTCACATAGCGTGTAGAGGGGAGCGGAGGGCGCTAGACTAAGTGCCTGACTTTTATTTGTTTGCTGACCCTTCGGGTCGATTTTGTTGGAGTACACATTTGCTGGGGAAGGTTGCCTGTGACCACGGGAATCGACGGACGCCACGTGGAAGATCAGTACAGGCAGATGAATGTAGGCTTTTAATGTTTGTTCATGTGAAACAAGAGCAACATCTCAAGACTGTCGCCGAAACTGTCGCTTTTCACGTGCCCGCATGTGAGGTACGCCCATGGCCTTTGCGACGCTGGCTGTCATGCATCGTTCATTTGGTTTTACGCTGGCATAGGATCGTGTGTGCTCGAAACTAACAAAGCAGTATGAGCATACAGGAGGCTTGGCATTTCCTATGGGGGGAGGGGGTGCGCGCCGCAGCTATGAACAACGGTTGCTTGTCGACTGGCTCGAAAAGACAGGATGGTGTGTTTTTTTTCCCCAGCCCTGCCCACTCCAGCCGACGACATCGAGCCTTTCCAGGTTCTGCAACGACGACCGCGCACACGGGGCAGACATGGAGCTTTGACACGGGGCTCACAGATTCTCTGACTTGCCTGTGTACGTCTGTCTGCACATTGTCACCCTCTCGCCTCACTCCTGTACAAGAGACGGAACGCCATGTGATACCCGACTGCTGGAGAGATCTCCCGATTCCCACTTACGTTGCTATTTTGATGCACGATCGGCTTATATGCAAATAAACGCGCACCGTGGTTCCCGCCATACATGCAGCTCAACTTTGGGTACTGCACCCTCTTGGTGATGGAAGATCTGGACGTGATCCCTCAGGATGAGGTTCGCTCCGTGAATGTTCAGCTCGTGACCTTCAACGGGAACCAGGGGTCGGCCTTCGGCTCCATCAACATCGGCTTCACTTTCGATCACGGTAAGCGGATTTGGTTAACTCAGGTTGTGGTTGGGCTTTCGTCAGCTCCCATCAATGACTTGAGATCCATCGCGTTGAGCAGAATTTGATTGGGCTGGAAATGAGGTATTTTTGCTCTTGGTCTTTGAAATTGGACCCACTTTCGACGTCGTTTACCGGATACTGTTTTTTCTGGTCAACCGTCGAATCTTTGCACTGATACTGTCATTACCAGGTTCGAGTGCGCACAGAGAATTTTGGTTAGTCTGGGACAATTCTGTATCTTTGGGTGGTTATTGAAAAACCAGGTTCACTGTCGGTCGCGTTCTTGTTTGTTTTTGCGGTATTGGCTTATCTGTGCTCATAGTTATATCAAAATCGGGTATGGCGTATGTTCGCTCTGGTATTATCATCGACGGAATCAGATTCAATTATTGGCAAGCGGATTCTGGTCAAAGAAATTCTGGCTAATGTTTGCCTTGGTTTCTTCAACATCGGGTTGGAATTCGAGCTACCTTGCTCTAGCTCCATGTCCATCGCCAGAGGCTTCCACCCCGTTGAACAGGGTTAGGCTTAGGGTTATCTCTGACCCTGTCAACATCGCACACGGCTTTGGTCACGATAAGTGAGGTCGCTCGTCGTTGGTGGGAGCGCCTGCGCCGAGATAGCGTTGCCGGAGTGGTTTCTCACTACTATAGGGCGTTGGAGATGTATCTTCAGCGTTGGTGTCTCTTGGTTTCAGAACCGTTGTGCTACTTCACGTTGTTTCCAATGTACAGAGGCACTGTGCTGTGGTTATCGTCCAGTCTCACGAGTTTCGCGTCGAGCAGTACCGATGTTTGCTGTTGTGGTGATTTGCGTAGGATCAACGCGGGCGTGGAAGACTCACGAAAGCATTTTCTCGTCGAACTTGTTCGTAGGTGGAGTTGTGCGTCGAGGGTTGATCTGAAGTGAAGAAAAATAGAAGAAGGTCCGTAATTGCCATGAACCACTGCCGATTTTGCTCCCATGTGTCAGATTTCATTCTGGTACTGCTGATTTATTTAGCCAGATAGAATGTCCCTCTCTTTATGAACACAGACAGACAAGCAGTTCGTTTGTGCAATATTGTGGTATCCAGTTTTGAGAGTTTTTCTCGCCTTGCTTGGCTGACAATGAGATTGTTTTCCGCCATGTATTTTGCAGGGATCTCGTTGTTGACGGGGCTGAACTGATGGTTTTGCAGTGGATTGAACGCAATTGCGCGAGTAGTCTTTGGGAGAACACAACCGTACAGGCGTCGGAGCGGCGTTCAAGTGGAGATAAGAAAAACAAGCGAACATGAACACTAGCAGCATCAGCAGCAAACAACAGCGACGAACACAACAAAAACACATTACAGTATCACCACCACCACTATGAACACCACCACCAACATTCCCCCGCCACCTGTTTTTCGATCTTGTGTTCTCTGGTTCTTCTATGCTACGCAGGGGGTGAAGTAGAGGCACACGAGCTCGTGACGGCCTACATCCTGACGGGAAACGCAGGGCAGGGAAATGACAGGTGCAGTATGAGACGCAGATGCGGCAGTAGTAGCAGCCGCCTTTCTACAGGACGAGCAACAGCAACAGCAGCAGCAGCAGCAGCAGCAGCAGCATGAGCTGTATGAGCAATGTAGAAGTTGTATTTACATCGGCAGGTTCACTCCGTCCCTCACGTGAAGCTTTCTGTCAGGGTGCTTGAACCCGTTCGTTCGGCTTGAGTCTTGCCTCGTGTCACGGATGAAATCCGCAACCGTGGCCCGTGTACCACAACATGTGTAGCGCACGTCGCGACAAATCTGCGGCCCCCCTCACGCGTGTTTTCACTTGCCACTCTCATTCTCTCCCCCATTCTTTCGCTCGTTGTCGCTCAGTCATATTCGCTGTCATTCATCGTCTCTCTCTCACGCTGCCATGTGAATGGAAAGACAAAGACCGTCTCCGTTTCTGCTGTTCCCTCTGCCCGACTGCCTACCATTCTCGTTCATCTCAGGATCCGGTGGATCCTGGGGTTGATATTTGTGTGCGTGACACTGGCCATGATCCGGCACGACACGAAGAAGTGGTATCGAGCCAGGCGCGCCAAGGCCAGGCGTGAGTTTTGGTTTCTGTTCTTTGGCACGGTGGTATCTGCGTCGGTGGCGGGCTCCAGCAGTCCTGGCTCTGGGTCGCGTTGGGGCCAACCGTGGTTGACGCGCCTGCGAGCTATCGACACACGGCGATCCCTTGTTATTGTTCCTTTGAGTCACAACCAGATGCAGTTATCCCAATATTGCACGGCACGAAGGTGGTGAAAACGTCTCCGTGACCGCATTGTTTGTCCATCCAGATTCAACTCTTTCCCCGCATGGTGAACAGCACGCGATGCGGGGCATTTGACCGCTAGAAGCCCGGCTCCCCCGCCGGGCTTGTGCCAGCACCTCAAGCTCTGCAAACCCCCGTTCTGCCCTGTCCGGTTTGGGTTCGCAGGAAACAAATGTCACTGCTGCTGCGGCTTCACGTTTTTCACTCTGATCATCCTCAACGTTCTGATGTGGCTGGTGAGTTGTGAGGCAGGCGCCCCTCCCCATTGCTTCGTTTTCGAAAGCGCAACACTGTTATCGCCTGTGGGCATACTTGGCTTCGTATTTGCTCTTGTGTTTGACCCGCTTTTTCTTGCTGCAAGGGTGGCAGCATGGCATCCATTCCCTAGGGCACCGCTACTGTGCCCTCGTGGCGTACGTACATCACGGCCATGGGTACTTCCTCATTCAGCCTTTTGAACTTTTGAACTACGCCTACCCCGGAATTTCCTCACACCCTTGCCATCTTTGCACATCGCCACACATCCTCACTATCTCTTCGGGCAGGGCTGGGCATCTCTGGGACAGGTCATAGCGTTCGATGCGGTTCTGCAAGGCGCCTCCACCGAAAATGACTTGGTCCTGGACGCGGTACGTGGGAAAGATTCGAACGCGCGTTCACCGGCGCCACCAGTCTCGATGGTGCAACCTGTTGAGACCTCACGAAAACTTGCCACGGCAAAACGTGGGATCCGTTCACGCTGCTCGATGTAGCAACTCGGCCTAGCTTCGGCTTGTTTGTTCGACAGGGCTGATATTCTCTCAGCAACCTCGAGCATACTTAACTCTCTCTTGTGTGTAGCCTCGTTCAACGACACTTACTCATCGATCCCGTCGCTCTCCGCCACTGAAGGAACGTATCCGCAATGATGGTAACAACTTTGAATGGTTACCGGCGGTCATTACTCATCATCGAAACATGGTAGTGAACGCTATATGCTCGTGCATTTTTTCTCCTGAAGACTAGCCCAACGAGCAGAGACCGTGGAATTGCCCGCAATCTAGGACATGCAAGTGGGGCCAACCGACTACAATTTAGTGCGCGCGCAACAGACGATATTTTGCTTGTATTGAAACAAACTGTTTTTTGTGCTCAGAGACCGATCGCCCTTGAACCCACACGCCTATCATATTGCTGCTTGTCCGCTCGCCGCGTTGAATAAACCACAATGATCGACATAGCTAATAGAGCAGGTTCTGGCTCTCCAAGAAGCGGCTCTATTTTCGTGGTCACTCAACATCATTTTTCTCCTCACAACCTTGGCCGGACTCTACCGCTGGATATTCCAGGCAAGAGATCGATCGAAGACAACCATGAAAAAACAAGTTTGTTCCGAAGGCGTTCTTGGTTGTAATGGTATGGTGAAACACGTCGATATTCACTGGTTTGACAGTTGGAACAGTTGCTCTCGAAACGGTGGGCGGAGAAATGTACAGGGGAATGAAACCACCGGCCCGGGCGTTGGAGAGAGTTCGGCAGACAAGAGTTCATTTTGTTGAACGCCTCTTTGAGTCAAGTAGGCGCGCTGCTTGGAGAGAACAAATCGCCGTCTCGCACGATGGCGGCACTCGTGATGAGGTTTGGCGGAGGTCGTGTGTGGTGAGTTGGTATCGTGCGTGGTTACACTAGCGGGCACCAACATTCGTTATCTGCGTGCTTTTTTCGTGTCAGCGTTCGTGGCAAGCAGTCAACAGATAGGCTTGAGGAGGTAGCGGTGAAACTTCTTAGTCAACTGTGCTTCGTGCGAGGACGGAGTATTTCAAGGGCAAGTCTTCTCGTTCCATCGCTCATTTTGGACTTCAAACGTTGCGTGGTTCTCGGCTCCGCTCTGCTTTATCAGTTGTTCGCCTTCTGTTGACGCGTGACATTGTTGGTTCAACCTGCGGCAACCGCGTCCTTCTTCCCATTTTTGACTCCACTACGCGTCTCCGCTCACGCAGATGCTCACGTTCCACAAGCGCATGAGCATCGTCACCGACACCCTGAGCAGAGCGAGCACCCATCTCAACCATTTCCTGTTCGTGTTTTTCCTGGTAAGGCTGACACAGTTGCCGGACAAGAGGTGTCTTGGGGTACTGGTGCTGGTGGTAGTACTGACGACGCTGTTGGCGGCGAATTGTACGTAGTAGTCAGTGGTAGTATAATAGTTCGCCTCTCGGTGCGGTCGCGTTTTAGCCCGCTTTCATTGTTGACCGACTTGAAGAATGGACAGTTTTTCCTGTTGAAGCCGTTGCTTGTATTGAAGTGTGCACAATGACGAATGCAATCACACAGTGGTGGAGTATACATATTTATCGGACGACTACAATATGCATTGCCTGCGTTACCGGCGTAGTGCCTTTTGCCACCAACACGCTTGGCAGGTTTCTCGCTGCTCGCCGTGTCCACCAGGCAAGCACGGACTTAGTTTCGAATCGTGTGTAGTCGGACGTTGACGAACCAACCTTCGAACGTGTGGACGGGCGTGTTGTACCGACCAAAGCGCCAGCTGATGTCAATGTTTCGGCGAGTGGACGAACAACACGTGCATACACCTCCCGCGAAGAAGGCCATATGAGAGCGCAACTAAAGTAAGAAACAGACTGGGATGAAACCTGCTTCATTTTTCCTCTCTCTTTCCCCAGGTAATCCTCGCGTTTGCCGCCCTCACGTGGCTCCTCGTCGGGTCCAGCACGAAAGAGTTTTCCACCCTGGAGGATGCGTGGCGGAGCGTGATCCGCATCTCCCTCGGGGAGTCCGAGAATTTCTACCCGCAGATCTTGGATGCGCAGCCCACGGTCGGACCGGTGGTGGTGGTGCTGTACCAGGTCCTGGGCGTGGTGTTGCTGCTGAACGTGGTGATCGCTATCCTTCTCGAGGTATGGTGCTTTGTACAGTTGTTGTTGTTGGTATTGGTCGTGGTGTTAAAATTTTTTGTCTTTTGCTGCTGTAGTTGTTGGCTAAGAGTTGCTCGTCCTCGCGTTTCGCAAGTTGTGTTGCTGACGAAGACCTTGCGTGCGGCTTCGGTATGTGATGGCACCACAGCTGGTGTTTCTACCGCCAGGTTGTGGCAGTGGTGCATGGATCATGGTGCTTCGGTGGCACTGAATGTGGGTGGATAGTGTGGGCACGGGTTATCATCCCGAAAGTGATGGATCGTTCTGTCGCCGATGCTGCACGTCTTGTTCCGTATTCTTGAGGGGAAGCTCCGCGGCACCAAGGAGAAGAATCAACACATTTTTTTTCGAACACAGTCGTCCGACCCCGCCCATGCGAGGTATTACTTTTCTGCAAAAACCCAAGGAAACAAAGTAAATCGCCCTGCCCGCACTCCAACACAAGCCGGAGACACCTATGCTGCAGCACTACCAACGTGATGAGTCTCAAAGAACCTGTGCTCGGGCCCTAACGATGCCGGGAATGGTTCGTCTTCTGGGGTATCCTCCGACCCTTGGTCCCCCCCCCCTATCCTCCCCACGCAAGGAGAAGATGTAATCTGTCGTATCCTCCCACTCCGCTGCCTTTTTGCCGAATCTCGAATAATCCCCCCGGCGCTCGCGCACTCTGTCGTTGTTGTCAAGGCCTACCGAGGAGTTGCAAGTGGTATGCACGGCGAGGACACCATATTCCAGTCGTTCATCGCCTTCGTCGGCATGTCTTGGTGGGTACCGCACTCACGGCAAACGGCTCGACAAACCGGAGCAGATCCTAACCTCAGTTTCGTCTATGCGATACGTGTCTGCTTGTTTCCTTTTACGACGCTAACTTCCCTCGCCGAGAGCACCCTTCTCAGGGTGTTTGAAAGGGAAGAGAGTAAATACCGCAGGCCCTAAGCTATGTAGCATGACTTTCTTTGATTTCTCACTCTGTTGGGTAGGAGACCAACGGCAGGAAGTATTTTCGTGTAGAAAAACGCGCGCTCGTAAGCTCTGCGGATGGAATGACCCATGGAGCCCACCACAGGTGATTGGACGTGCAACGCGGACGATCTCTTCTGGGTTACGTACCCAATCGCAGATCCTCCGTGAGAGAGGCATGACAGGACGGTGCGAAGAAACGTGGACGCGCAATTTGCCGAATGAACGTGACGAGTGGAAAATACAAAATTATAGAAATCTCCCAACGGGGCCGACATACCCCCTTCGTGTATTGCGAAGGGTGTTTCCCCATGGCTCCGCCCTCACGCACACCAATGCAGACCTGTACGTTATTCCAACCTCCTCACGCCATGGTGCCATGTTTGCGGCGCCCACGTCGAGATCACTTCCGTCCCTATGTATTTTTGAAATGCGTGGTGATTTTCGTGCGAGGGCTGCAAAGCCCTAGCGACGTTCGCGTACGCACTATTAACGAGCCCTCCTCCCCGTCGACGGCAGGTGTTCGCTGACAACAAGAATACGCTGGGCCACCGCCTGCATCCGGTGGCGTCTGGGTGGACGAAGAAACACGTCGCGTCCGTCGCTCAAGATATTCTTGCAGGGCTCTACCGGGGTATGCGGGGTGGATGGGCGGCCTGTGGTGATGGTTCGGAGACCGCCAGAGAGCTCGACGATACTGGGAAGGCAGCTGTCTTTCAACTGCCCGCGGTACATTACGGTGGGTTGGATATGACGTGGTGAGGAGACGAGGGTGGGCCTTGTTCGAAGGTACCCTGGCAGATGTCATGAACCGCCGTGTCTGATTTTGACGGCAGCGAAGTTGACAATGGGGCAATCCTCGGGCATGCAATAGTGTTGCAAGCTTGGTGTGTTTTGTCAGTCCCGATCGGAGGGGAGGGGGTTCGCGTAACGTGCAGTTATTGCTCAATCCCCAAGTTCTCGAGGAGGCGGTGGCTGATCGTGGTTGCTGCCAAGCGTTTGGTGTCGCTCAAGTCCAGTCACCGCTCGCCGGCGGCAGCGCGAGCCTGTTCTGCCTCAGGAGAAGAAGTCCGAAACGCACCCCGGCGTCCATCGACGACGGAGGAAATCGGAAGGCGCAAGCAAAGGAGCTGTTATTGCACTGGAAATCGAACATCGTTTCGGGCGCTGTCCAGCTGGTCGATATTCCTTGCTCAGCTTGCCAGTGGGAACGACTTGTATCCCGCACACTGATTCAGAACAGGAGAGGAAGGTTCTAAACATTGGTAGGAGGAGTGAGACAGCGATATAGCGTTGTACTGAATGCCACACGACGGCTCAGACGGGGCGCTTGGTTCTGAGCAATGGACTAAACCCAAGTTTGTTGCTGTGCCTGTACGAGTGTTATGGTTTACAGGTCGTGCAATTCAGCTCGTAACAGCGGTTGTGCACCCTTATGCGCGTCTACCACTGATTGGTTTGCGATTCTGACCGCTATGCCACCAACGACCTAGCTGAGTAAGTCAGGGTATTCAACACGTCTGCCCACCAAAGACGGCTCGACTTCCACCTGCTTCCCAATAGCAAACCCCAATCATGAGTACCGCGCCCCTGCTCGAATGTCCGCCGTACCAAGGTAACCGAAATGCAGGCACTGATCGAAGCCACCCCGGTCCCGGCTCGCGTGGCCGACCGGTTGGTGAGGAAGATCGTCCACGATTGGGTTTTCCGAAGCGACGAAAGGATCACCGGAGGCAGTTTTCAGTCGCCGTCGTCCTCGGGAGAGTACGGCAACGGCACCGGTGGCGGCAACGGCGGTGTGACGGCAACGAACCTCAGGAGAACGTCCAGCACTGACTCGTCACGGCCAATGCAGCGGCGGCCGTCGTCGTCTACCGCCTCCCGATAGACAGCGTATTGAGGGCGTTTCCTTTTCCAGGGTGTCCCAAGACTATGGCATGGACAAGGTCGTGTCGGGATATCCTCACACAGGACGGGGATCAGATGTATGTTTCATCGCCGGGTATTGCCGCGTGTTGACTTTTCAGTGATGTTCTCCAGGAGGACTACCCTTTCTATCGTCCGTCTAGCATCCTGTGGCACCTCTGCATGATGGGCTTTTAGAAGGTGTTGGTCATGGCAATAGCGTTCGGTCCGGCTCAGTGTGCGCCAGGCTAGGCGGTCTAGGAACGGAAACGGAGCCGACTCGGCGTGTACAGGTTTTAAGCGATTCTTCTCTTGTTCACGCTTTGTTGTGGTTTATTTGTTCGTCCGTTCTCCGGTTCAATCCTTAGAATACCGCTAAAGCTGGCGCGCTGAAGATGTCTCCTTATTCATAATCGTCACAGCAGGGGGCGCTGCGGGTGATCACGCTGTTGTTTATCGTACTGTTGAGAGAGGGGGATTTGCATGTGAAGCGTTGGAGCTTCATAGTAGTTGAAGGCGTCCTGCGAGTCGGCGTCGTTTCCCTATCAAAGTTTATTGTGTTGTTGTTGGTGTGTTGCGTGCGTTCCCGATGTTTGGCGCCTCCCGGCGGCTTGCAACGACGAACAACCGGCAACAAAGATCAAACGGGGCGGCGGTTTTCCCGGGGATAATGGCAATATTTTGATTTTTTTCTCACCTGTGTCATGTGCTTGTATTAGATTCTGACACCATTCGAAATGTATGCTTCGTCTCGAGCCCCTTGCGTATGTGTATCGCCGGCGTGCACAAGATTCGGATATTATCAATATCAAGCATATATGAGGCGGTCAGCGTACGATATTATGGTACATGTACTGTAGGAGTTGTCAACTGCGGGTTACAGTTTGTTGCTCTGTCTCTGTCTCGGGGGCATTTTCGTATGATGAACGACGCTCGCATGCGTACTCTAGAGCTTAAGAGACATGCAGGCACGAACGTGCAGCGTTTCAACAGTGATATTTTCGACCTTTCATTGTATTCGCTTTGTGTAACCGCTATGGGTGTCCCGAACGAGAATGCACTCCCAGGCACACTCGCATATATTGTGCGTTGTTTGCGACGCTGTGACAAAGTAACGGTGCGTTCGGCGCTCTCCTCTGTTGCCGCCCATGCTGGCACACCCACAAGCAAGTCCAGACTGGATATTGGTGGGCACGTCCGCGAACGTTTTCATGGGCAATTCAGGCTGCTCCGAGAGGCCTGAACGTCTCCACCGTTCCCCAATGGGGACGATAGAATGTGTCTACTGGGCCTCAACCCACGGGCACTCCCAATACACAGAACGAAGTTGCAGAGTGGGTGTTGTTTCTGGCAAGCCTGCACATGGAGATGCACAGACAAGCCTGCAGTGGCTTGTTGCCACTCCTCTTGCTCCTACATGCACTCATTGTTTTCGATCCTACCGCAGGCGACGACCTGCTTCTGGAATGATTCTCTGTGCGACATGGAGTTTTGACATATTGTGCATGTGTCGTTCGACGCCGTCTGCCAAACCCAGGGATCCCCATGGACACGCGCCATGCTGACTTGCCGATCTTCTCGAGGCCCATGGGTGGGGGCATCCTCTTTGGGTTCTTCGAATACCGGCCGACCCCGAAGCAGCGCGATGGGAAGCGGTGCAAACGCTACCTGAAAGTTGCTTTCTCCGCTCCTCGGACGAACCAGCAAAGGGCAAACTTCGGTCAGACGATAAGTAGTGCACAGTTCCTGGAACCAACCTGCACAACATTATCCCAATGCCTTAGGAAGCTTTTTCCGAAAGATACATCGAAGGAGTCCCTCTGCTGCCAGCGCTACGGGGTCAAGCAGCTTAAAATGAGTGAGAGGGTTACACATACCTTTTACGTGGAACTTTGACGTTTGAGGCTTGACACCAGTCCGCAGTCGGACCCGCAGTCACGGTTGAGATTTTGAAAGGGATTTTAACTAGGCCTTTGCTCCATCGGCTGTTTTGTTTGTATGGCGGAGAATAAGAAGGTGAATTTTACTTGAAGTTAGTATGGAAATACAGTTTGTGTATCTAAATCGAAATTAAAACGGCCGCTGGAGCAAAGAAGGCCTCATTTTAACGCGAAACAATTGCGCCGCTTATGCTCGTTGACTCTAGGAACCACCGAAATAATAAAAAGAGACCGCTGTCGCCGGGCAAGCTGCTGGCAGTACCAAGCGCCCCAGCGCAAACCCCAACCCCGTGAGGCGACGGGGTTTATTTAGTGAGATGCACCAAGTTGACCGGCCAAGTCCGTGTACCTTCTCTTATGCCGCTCTCTCTGCTCCCTTCGGGGGCAGGACAACCCTGATCCCTGCAGTCAGGGTGCTGCTGCTGTGCTAGCACACACACGCTTCTGCCAACGATCGAACGCGCGCGTCGAACACGCGACGGGAAAGCTGCTGGCAGCACCCCAGCGCAAACCCAAACCCCGTGGGGCGATGGGGTTGGGTGAGAGTCACTTGACCGGCCAAGTCCGTGTACCCTCCCTTACGCCTCTCTTTCTGCTCCCTTCGGGGGCAGGACAACCCTGATCACTGCAGTCAATCAAGGTGCTGCTGCTGTGCTACAGATGGCGCCCGCTTATATTGGCCAAGCAAGGCTCGATGCTTACTGGCTGCTCAAATTGAGCACCTGTTCTTGTTTTCAAATTTCTTATTTCGAGCAGGCATAGTCTAGACTATATCCCTATGATACACGGGGTTCTTGTTCATATTTCTATTGTTCGCCGAGGGCCCCATTCAGAGGACGTTTTTTTTCTCTGGGTAGATTCAGCCTGACACGTGAGAGCAGCGTGTTCTTATATACCCACAAAACAGAGTATAGTCTAGCCTAATAATAGTTGAACGTCGCTCAACAGAGACGTACCTCTGGAATCGAGTTAGATACAGACGCGGTGTCGCCTGCAATAATGTCGCATCTGAGCAAACACATACGTTGAACCATAAATTGTCACTCGCGGCGTGATTGTCATCCCCGCCCTATCTACGAACTCAAACACCCGTCGTAGCTACATTGCCCGCTCTTCGAATGCCGGACCTCATCCCTGCTCTATGACGCGCTCCCCTCAAGCAAAGCCACCGACCCTAGCACCGCACCCGCATCTCCACTGTGCTTGTCCAACTTTGGCCTACATGTAGCTCGAAATTCACACGGTGGTCGCAAAAAGTTCGCTCCTGAGACGGCCGAGTAATCAGCTCACCAAGTCAGCCCATGCTCAGTATTACGAGTACTCCACATACAGAAACGAACTGTCAAGTGCAGCGGGTATTGACGCTTGAATTCGAAAAGCGGTGGGTGCGACGAAGGAAGAGGTGTCGGAAAGCTATCGTCGCCCCCGCGTCGACTCGATGATCTCCCAGCCTGACTTTGTGGGCAGTTGCCAGCAATCACATGTTCTTCCAAGTGTCAATCAAGAATTACACCTCCGTTCAACTTTGACAGCTGGCCGAGTTCCTTCAATATTTTAAGGGGTAAAGACATGGCTCTCGTGCATGGCACGCAGCGTGGCAGACACCCCAATGACACACGACGAGGGGTATGCCTTGTACAACAAAGCCTAGCCCCTACCCCCCCCCCCCCTCTACCTCCGCACCGACCAAGGTAAAATGTGAAAGCGGCCTCGAGTGAGTGCGAACACCGGGTTCATGTGGTTGCGGAATGTCTGTTGTGCAAGGGGACGAGATTTTACGTTGCTGAGCCTCGTGAAGGAGAAGGAAAATAAAGAGGCATGGGATGCCAGCTAGGAGAGAAGACGGTAGCTGTACTGTACTGGGGCATAGAACGTGCTGGGTTGAAGAGGCGGGACGTGACATCGATAGGGTAGACAGGCTTAAGAAAAAATTATACCACTTGAGAAAAAAAAAATTAATGAGAAAATGTTTGGGCAGCTTGGCGCACCAAAAGTGCCAAACAGTTCATGTTCGCTCCAACGAAAAACATCCTCAGGCGTCCTCCAAATCGAACACACGCCCTTTCGCCGGCGCCAACAAAATTGGCAACGCCGACAGTCACGACAGTTCTGCCGCCAAGGATCCCAAACCGCACCTGTTTCAACACCCCCCGCCTACCCCCCGCGTAGACGAAATATTCCAAAAAGATTTCCTCAACACGCCCGAACGTCGATACTCCTTGACACTCCGTCAAGAGCATTGTTGTTCAAAACTTCAAACTAGGGTTGGCGTCATTAGGCACACCTTCAACTACATTCATACGAAAAAAAACTCCACCTGGTGCTTTCTCGGAAAGCCCCGGAAAGCCAAGAGAGCAAGATTCCCGAACCCATTGATGGATCCTCACAGGCAACTCTAGCAAGACCTGTGCCACAGGTGAACGAAGGCAAAGGAGACAAACAAAAGCAGGGCCTGTTTCTCCCCAATTGATGTCGCGAACGAACCGCCAGGTTGCAGCGTGTTTCCGCGCAGGCTGCCTTGAGAACAACCTGCTGGATTGGAAACCTACGTGAATGACCTCAAACTCACCAGCAGTCATCCTTTCTGGTACGTTGCCGACACCGCAACATGGAGGAGTGTTCCGCCTTGGGTTAGGGTTAGTGTTGTCCTGAATGCCTCAGAGTTGGAAGCCCCCAAGGGTTTTCTTCACCCCACCATCATTTTTGGGTTTCTGAGGATGGGTTAATTACCTCTTCTTTGAAGAGCCCCTGGTGTCGTGGGGGTGTTGTACTTAAGAAGACCCCGCGGTCGGGTTAGCAGCACGACGAGACTTCGCAGATTGCGCCGTCTTCTCGGTCGCGATTGCAGGGGCAGCCGCGTTCTCCACCCACTCGTCGTCGTCATCTTTCTGGCTAATCGGTGTACAGCACCAAGGGCAGGGCGCGGGGGGGGGGTCAGACAGTGCTACCACCGTCCATTCTGGGGTAGAACACAACAACGTGTGTGTGTGTGTATCCTTTTTTTTTGTTGAATGTGGCTGCTGTGTGACGGACTCAGTGTTAATGTCGTCGTGCACCACGATAAAGGTTGCCTTCCCGCATTGACGGTTGGAAGGCAATATTGTCGTAATATATGAATCGTCTACGCCCCGACAGCGTGCAGTTGGAGGACCAGTAGGTGCTACTGTCCTTGAATTGGACAACCTGCGTCGCGTTGATTGAACGTGTGCCAAGAGCGGAAGGAAAGCACTGTCGTGGAATTGGGAGTGGATAACACGGCGGCGTTCTGGAAGTCATGCACGTGCCGGCAACTCGTCTCGCGGCACGATCCTCTGGGTATGCTGTATATATCAAAGTACCTCGATCGTCCAGCGCCTCGTAGCTGCCGTAGCTTGCGCCATGCCCAGGCAGAGGTATCCATTCGACAGTCCGGGTTCTCGGCACACAGGCCGTCTGTATGGCCGGCGGCGAATTGTCCCCCGGGATGGCACCAGGGAGGCGCTCGGTAGAGATTGTAACCTGCGACGTGACAGCCGCAGTGGGCTGGAAAAAAAAAACAAAAAGAAAAGCAACATGATGTTCTTGCGAGGGCCGTGGCTATTTTTATTGTTGTAGTTTCGGGGGGGGGGGGGGGGG